CTAGACGCTTCTCCTGCCTCGCAATCGCAGCCTCGTACGAATAGTCCGGCTCCTGGGTAAGATGCAAACCCCCAACTACGCCCCGACACTCGCGGAAATTACCATTCGCTCTTTGCGCATCTTCAAATTCCGCATAAAGAGGCACGAACCGCTCGCGCCGAGCCATCAATTCCGCAGCGACCTCTCTTTTGCCTGCCCTACGAGCACGGCGAGCCATCGTGTCGGAAAGTTCTAAGCTTCGACGAGATTCGGCTTCATACTCTTCTCTCACACGAGCGGCCTCCTTTGCAGCTAAATCCTCGGCATGGGAGAAACTGGCATCGATCTCCCCTCTGATACGAACGGCCTCCGCCTCCGCAGCTGCAGCCCTAGATTTGGCCCTGCGAAGCTCCGCACTATTCGTATTCACCGCCTCGCGCATAAAGCGAAGACCCTGCGAAACGGAACAAACGTCCTTCGTAAAAACGTACGTACATAATTATAGTAAAGAGTAGGCAAACCTTGTTAAAAAGCCTCGACGGTTTCGCAAACGGTGTGTCGGCTGGTCCTCGGGATGACGTCTCAGCCGGATCAAATTCGGAGGGTGAAAAGTCAATAAGATCCTCGATATCGATATCTTCGTTAGATGCCCGACCATGGTCGACCGGAACCTCTCCATCCTGCGGAGATCTAGATCTTTCCCTCTCCTCCACACCATCGTCCGCCTTAAGATCAGCATGATCGTTGCGAGAAAAACTCGACGAATAATAGGCGGCGGCACGACGGATCCTTTTCGGAGAAAAAAATCCCCAATGAAGCGGGCCGCCGCGCAGAAGATTCATAACCTTCGGAAAATCTTCAAGCATCGGCACCGGAAGGGCAGGCACTGCGAAACAAACGAGAAAGTTAAAACCTATATCTACTTAGATATGAGTATCGCGTTAATGAAATACCGTTTGTCACCCGCGCAGCCCTAATCAAAGGAATACAACTCTCCTCCACCGATTCACTGTCGATTTTGACATAAAAGAAACGGTGGATCCAGTCGTGATCATTTGAGGCAAGCCAGCCAACAACCGTCATGCCCCGTTGGGGGGCCAAGTAAAAACCATCCTTCCTCCCCTTGAATGTCAATATAGACAAAAGATAATCCGCGTAGAGGGACATACCGCGTTCATATCCCAACACCAGGCTCCCGATAAGGTGCTGTAAGCCTTTAGGGCGTAGTTGGCCGAATGGTACTCCAAACCTGTCCAGGAATTCGAAAATGGCCCGAGGAATAGGGAACCATAGATGGCCGGTTAGCAGAAAGGCTTCATAGCACGTATAATAACCCGGAGGCGGATCCCCGGCACTCATACCCTCGACAGGGATGCAAAACTGAACCGACTCGGGGATCGCACAGGTATTTTAAAATATATAAGAGAACCAACGGTACTCATGCTCATGCCAACCGCCCTCTTCCGGGGATTATTTCTTTTCGGAACCCAGAAATTCGAAGGCGGCACCTCCGCGGCACTCACGGCTGAATAGTAGTCTGCGAACTCTTCCTTAGTCGTAGAGAAACGTCGAAAGACCGGCTTGGGGAGAGAACAGCCGTTGGAAGTATCAAGGTCGCTCGGATCAAAGATTGATGCATGAGCATCATCTGAAACTTTCCGTCCAAAAGACATATTGGATAATCGAAAGAAAAAATGATCTAAAGGAAAAAGTAGAGAGAAGTCTTCCTAAAACTTAAGAAAGTTATGGAGGAATGAATGGAAATCTTATAAAACTCACTCCATATACTTATAGGAAGGAATTTTACTATTCACCTTTGGACTTTTGGCCATTAAAGTTCCGCCTAATTCCACCAAACTCGCCAAACAAGCTCAATCCGCTTGCAAGAATCTCACGATTCTTACGAGCTGGGGGGCTAACTGTTGGGGTCAAAATCGGTACGACGGAATTAATAGCCAAAACTCCCCGCGAAAATACACAAAGAACAGTTTTATAAAACTCGAGAAATCGTTTTATAAAACTCGAGAAATCATTTTGTAAAACTTGAGAATCGTTTTATAAAACTCGAGAAATCGTTTTATAAAACTCGAAGATCGTTTTATAAAACTCGAGAAATCGTTTTATAAAACTCGAAGATCGTTTTATAAAGCTCGAGAAATCGTTTTATAAAACTCGAAGATCGTTTTATAAAGCTCGAGAAATCGTTTATAAAACTCGAAGATCGTTTTATAAAACTCGAGAAATCGTTTTATAAAACTCGAGAAATCGTTTTATAAAACTCGAAGATCGTTTTATAAAACTCGAAAGATCGTTTTATAAAACTCGAAGATCGTTTTATAAAACTCGAGAAATCGTTTTATAAAAACTTGAGAGATCGTTTTATAAAACTCGAGAAATCGTTTTATAAAACTCGAGAGTCGTTTTATAAAACTCGAGAATCGTTTTATAAAACTCGAAAGATCGTTTTATAAAACTCGAAGATCGTTTTATAAAACTCGAGAAATCGTTTTTTAAAACTCGAGAAATCGTTTTATAAAACTCGAGAAATCGTTTTATAAAAACTCGAGAGATCATTTTATAAAAACTCGAGAGATCGTTTTATAAAACTCGAGAAATCGTTTTATAAAACTCGAGAAATCGTTTTATAAAACTCGAGAGTCGTTTTATAAAACTCGAGAATCGTTTTATAAAACTCGAAGATCGTTTTATAAAACTCAAGAAATCGTTTTATAAAACTCGAGAATCGTTTTACAAAACTGCAAAAAACCGCAAAAAACCGAAAAAAGCCGTAAAACGCGAACTAGTCGCAACTAGTTCGCCGATGGGCGAACTAGAGACATCCCAGACACTCCGCGTCTCGATTTCCCGCATTCCCGATTCGAAACTTATGTCTTTCGACAAGGTCGCGTTCTAAACCACGGCCGAAATATCTCCCGTGCCATCTCGATCCGACTTACCGTTCGAGTTTTACGATAAAAACCGTAAAACTTCGTTTTCTCGGAAAGAACTCGAGGAAATCGTATAAAACGACAACGGTTAAACGAAACACCGAACATTGCCTAAACTATACGATTTATTCGAGATTTCTCGTTGAAATCATAAAAACGCGCTTTTAATAAAAAACGCCGAGTAAGTCGTAAAAACGTGTTTTTAATAAAAAGTCGAGTAAATCGTAAAATCTTGCGATTAACTCGAGAAATTTATTAAAAAACGACGTCAGATCAGGAAACGATCCCGTAAAAGTCGGAAAACGGTTTTTATCGCAAAACGGCCCGGAAGGACCTAAAACGCGATAAAAACCCATCTCGCGATTTCAACGGAATCAAACCCGCAGATTTGATAACGTTTTGACGGTTTACTCGCGGAAGAAAAATAAAAGTCAAGTTTAAAGATAAAAGGAAGGTTTGAAGAGAAATAGAAGATTTCTGCAGAAGAAAAGGAAGGATCGAGAAGAATGGAAAATTCCCGATTTAGTCAAATCTGGGCGAAATGGAAAGATCGGATAGCCAAGACGAGGAGTATATAAAGAGGAGGTCTAGGGCAGAAGCACACACACGAATCAGAGCTCTCACCACCAAAATTAGCATTTAGGAATATTTCCGTTTTTCTGTTAGCGAGCTGCGTCTCAATTAGGGGTTTCGTTCTTAAGCTTTTCGGCTACTCTTTTGTACCAGTTCTACGCAGATTCGGAATAAGAACCTTCTTTGCTCTCTACTTCGTTTATTTTCGTTCAAATTCTAAGTTATCGTTTTCTTAATCTTCGTTGTGCGGTTCTCGCAGATAGCCGGTTCCTCTGGAAACTTAGGGTTTTCCCGAAGTTTCCTTATTTACGATTATTTGACAGTAGGTGGAAATCGACACCCACATTCACCTTCAGGATTTCACCGATAACTTAGGTGCCCCACTCTGATACCACTTGTATGTGCAAAGATGACACCACAATAAGGTAATGCAGAAAATAAATCAAAAGACAAAACACCAATAGCTTTATTAGAAATCGCCTTGTACACACTATTACAAGATCTGCTTAATCAGCTTTACACGTCTAGTGTGAACACCCTAACACACGTCACTGAAAGATTCCTAAGCTACTCACTTATGTCTCTCTGCAGTCAAGGTACTTCAGCCTCTGCTTCAGCACGACCCAAGAACACTGTAAGAGCTTCTCTCTTTCTCTATAAGATCAGCCTTTGTGTCTCTGTCTCTCTATAGACGACCCCATTGCTATCTTGTACTTATTCTCCATGTTCCCGAAGCCCTAGTCTCCAAGGAACACAATATGGACATCTTCCATAACATTAAGTGCAACTTTCCTTTTCTTGGAATGTACTTATTCATCTTTCTTTAAGTCATAAACTTGCTCCTCAAGTTTATTCTTTTTGGCTTTTCTCCAAGATACACCCTTGCTCTCCAAGATACACCCTTGCTCTCCAATATACACCCTTGCTCTCCAAGTCTACACGACTCCAGCTCAACATCTTGACTTCACATGATTTTCACCATTCAACACGGCGTCTGCTTCGGCAACTACGTCAGCGACTACTTTAGAGCGGACATCTTACATAACCAGAATCCGCTTCCTCAAAATGTATGCTTGTATCTAGATGTCACCATGTTTGTTTTCAGAAAGTCCTAATCAAATATTGTAGCGCGGGGGAACCAGGGAACCTGTTTTATTCTGTTTTGAATGTGTACTTTCTTGTGTGGCAAACAAGTAAATTATTTTAGGAAACAAGAGAGCATGCTGTCAGCAATACAAGCTTTACTTTGTCGCTTTGGCCATTCTTTGGGGTTTTCATTGACGACTAGGAACACAAAGAGTGTATATATATTTAGGTGTGATGTGAAGACACTGTAAAAGCTACATCAAATTGATATTAGCATTTCATATATCTATATCTATATATATATATACAGTAACCTCATTACTAAAATATAGTTTTTCATATCTCTCATTTTCTATAATATTACTTTGACATTCAGATAATATTATTATCCACTTAATTATAAAGCGGACTTATCTAGTTACCCTGTATATCAAGGTTTTGTGCCCAATCAGGTGGAACTCTACTCGAGAGAACCGTGGGCATGGTCTTGACATTGATGTCAAGCGGTTGAAAACGATACTGAATGTCAAGCTCAAGCAGGATTTTGATCACTTCCTCAACCAACAAGGCCCTTCTTGTGAATTTCTCTCCCATGTTTTGGTGGTTAATCTTATGTCGTGGCCATATTGCTAACCTCACAATGTTCAAATCTTCCACATCCTTTACAATGATATCGGCTTTCGGATACCAATACTCTGGCTTGCTATCAATGTAGCTGCAGATTTGACAAAAAAAAAAGATCATCTTCATATTAGTATAAAGGTGTCCAAATTTTGTATAACATTTCGAGCAATGCTGGTTTTTACCTTGAGATTCTTTGTTTGATCGCAATAATCTTTTCAGGTGGAGTAGTTATGTGGACACAACACTGCACTTCATCTCCCATGTCCGGACTACGGTTGTAATTATGGATCGCTTTCTGCCACAAAAGAATATTCGGATACACAATCTTCAGATTGTCAGCCCTCAAGAACACTGTTGTAAGAATATTCATTTCCTCCACCACCATCTGAAATTTGTTTTTATCAATTTTAACCTATTAAGGGTCGGTCAGTAAATAGACTCAAACACACACAATTCATATTTTAGGTTTTTCTTTTCTTACCTCGACAGTGTCGATCACCAACCGATCACCAACATCATAGGGGTGAATGATGAAAAGGAAGATAATTGACTCAAAGACGGTCTTGAGAGAGTTTCCAAACATAAAGGCCAAGAGTACAATTTGTGAAGTTAAGAAGAGAAGAGACTTTGAAGTGGCAATCTCAAGAAGAACTAGCCATATGATTACTATGACAATTGCAGTGAGAAAATTAATCATGTGATGGAGTTTGTTCACTGCTGTTTTTGTATCGTTGAGTGTCAGTGCAAGAGCTCTTCTCTCTCTGAAAGCATTCACCTAATAAGGCCAAAGTCAAGAAGAGAGTTACATGCTGCATAAACTGAACAACAAAACTTGTTGTAGAAGAATTTACCAGCCAGTTCTTCAAGGCTGATTTGGTAATCTTTTTGGTCACCAATGCGCCTTCGAAGAGACTCATTGTCTTAATCGCCTCATCTGCTCGCAAAAATCTCATCAAATCCTCCAAGTAAATGTGCCTTTTGTTTTCATGAAGATATGAGTATGTTAGAGGTTTTAAAAGGAATCAATAAAGAAAGAAGATAAAATGTTGTGTAGTCTCTCACTTTGTTCCACGTTGAGCCACGTTCTTAAAAATCTTTCTTGCAGCTGCTTTAGCTTCTTTTTCGCTCCGTATCTGTCTGATTGACTCATCTTCAGATGTGCTTTGAAGCGCTTGCTCATCTAATGTCGTCAATGAAACATGCCTCACAATCTTGATCAGTCTTTTCATGTTCCAAGCTGATACATTCTTCTGATTCATCCTGTGCAAATCATTCATAGTGATTCCGCTATCAGTTCCTGTCTTCGGGATGATCGGAGATAGCTTCACGCCGTTCGACACACTTCCGCTCTTGTCCGGTGGAAACGCAGCTGAACAAAGGTCAGGTGATAAATCAGCACCTGCTTTCTGCATCTTGAAGATCTCTTCTTGCGCTCGCTCTTCCTCTTCTTCAATTCTGCTCAACTCAAGCATTGGTGGTCCAGATAACGTCTCTATCAAGTAATGATGAAACAGCGCTTCTTGAATCCGATCAAAGTAGGTACTAACATGAAACGAAGATGCTAAAACTTTAACCACCAATGTCTTGATCAGCCACAAGATTGTGCTCAACAAGAAACACGTTAAGATCTTTGTCACTAGAAGCAGAACATCGCTCTGAGTTTCCCTTTCTACTTTCTTGTCGAACAGGAAATGCCACGCGATAAGAACCAACCCTAGCCAGAGACAGTTCTGAACAGCCGTCTTCACACCATAAACAAAGTAAAGAACCCTCTTTCTCAGGAGGAAGTTTCTCTCAATGAAGAAGACGATGATTCGGATTCCCATCCCCGAAACTAGCCTCCCGCAGATGAGAACCAGAAAAACCACTTCCCATTTCCACAAGTGAAGCTTCCAAAGAGTCGTATCTCTCCATGAATGAAGCCCCAAACTCAACACTAGTAGAACCACGACTGCTATCAAGCTCAGCCATTGAAGCAGGGTTATCGCGTCCATTTTGGTCCTTCTATATTCTTCAGGAACATCTTCCTCAGCCAATGAATCATCTTCTTCCTCCATACTTGATTGTCTCGCAAGTAAACCGGATCTTAGCTGTTCTGATGTCTCCATCCAACTTGAATACTGTTGCTCCTCTTCTTGTGGAGGATCTATCAGCCTTGATTTTGCTTTCACCCTAGAGACAAGCTCTGTTTTCCTCATCGATGAGCATCTCAGAACTACGTCTTCGTCCTGATCTTGCGGGTCTAAGTTCATCCGCATTGTCGCCGACGAAAACGAAGTGGAAGAGGTACCAGAACGGACAGAACCGGACATATTGTTGTTGGTACCTGAAGAACCGTTGATTTTAAAAGAGACTAACGTTTCTTTCGACGCGTCGAACCCTGAAGCTAATGTGTTGCTGATATCCTCTGCTTCCTCGTCCACATCGAGTGTGACCTCATCACGGCATTGTGGGAAATCGAAACTACCGCTCTGCGCGTGATCATCGGTTACAATATCTTGCCAAAATGTGTAGCTGGTGGAATCACGCTCCATGTCTGATTTGTTGCCGTCAAAGCTTGAACCTGCGCTCTGGGTGCTTATAATCTGTTTGTACGATCGATGAGAGTTAAAGGGTTTTCGAAAATTCATCGCAAAACCATAACAAAACAGGATGAAAGAAAGAGAAAAGACATGAAAATCAAAAATGTTTTAGAAATATTAACTTCTAAGCTTTCTGAATCTCTGATGATGCATTGTTTTATTTACGTTATAGTTTGAAAGAAGAGTTACGAGTTTTTATTTGTATTTAATCGCATTATGATCTTTTTTGGTTCTCTGTTACTCAACAGTATTAACAATTGTGATGTGTTTACGAGTTTTTAAACCTCCATGAGTTGGATTAAGTCTTAATATAGCAATTAATTCGTGTTTTGACTAACGATCACTAACTTTAACACAATGTTTGTGCACATCTCACGTTCTATTTTGGTATGATGATGATTTTTTGTGATTAGGGTTGGCACATTTAATAACATTTAACACCTAAAACGAGACACAACACTTTCTCTTAACCATTTTCATTCGTGTTTCCCTTGTTCCTCACGTCATTTATGAGGAAATTAAAAACTTGGACTTGGGTTGTTTATATTGTTTATTTTTCTTCATTTATACTCAAGAAACTAGATGACTCACCCGCGTACATGCGCCCACATGAGAGATATTTTATTAGTTTAAGTTGTCTTTTTGTGTATTTTATGTTATCCTATTTAAATTTTTATAAGTTGTTTAGCTGTGGTATTATAACTTTTTGTGCAATATATTCAACTTGATGTTTACGTAAAACTTAATATATCCATTGTGCTTAGACTGAAATAAAAAATAAATTGAAGTGTTTAATTAAAAATTACATAAATAATTATAACGATAATATTTATGAAGTCTCATGCATATATATAAATTTTACAAAAGAACTAAATTGTAAATTCGGTTAGTATTTTATTTTTGTTTATTAATATGTTTTGATTTATTCTGCAATTTATATGTATAAAAATAAATAGATTATTATGATTAAATTATAATTTCAAGATTTGATTTTGGATATAGGTTGGATTAGTCGAACCACTCATGTTGTGAGATTGAGTTACATAATTATTTCAAAGTTAAACTAAAGTTTAATTATTTCTATTTCAGCCGTAACAAATTATTTTTATTTATCGCTTAAATATGCATGTATTTTCATAATATTTATCAAATTATATGTTGATTTATAAAACAATATTAGAAAATAAAGCGACGATTAATAGGGAGTTACATACATAATTATTACTAATAATTTTTGGAAACTCATGAATGCATATAAATATTTATATTAATATATATATTTTATAAATTATAAATAACTTTATACCTTAGATTTATTAAAAGATAAACTGAAAATTATTTTAAATAATCATAAAATTAATAATTCAGACTTGGTTGGATATTCTAATTATGGTTATGTTTCTATTAATTTAAAAAAAAAAATATATATATATATAGATATTATATTGTTTAAAATTATGTTTAAAGGAAATAATATTTTTTAATATCAAGATTATCTTTGTGAACTCTTGTTATGAAATCACAGTTTATATAAAAAATTTCTTTTCATCTGAAAAAAAAATACAGATATAACTAAAGAAAGTACTTTATTACTGTGCAAGTCTATTTTGTTATTTTAATATTTTTTAAGGGAGTGTTACTATTTTGTTAACTTTCCTATTAAATGAATTCATATTACATATATTTTCATTTTTAAAATGTACAAATATTTTTTATTATATATGTTACTTGGGAAAACATTAAAAGAACATTAAAGAAAATTTAATAATAGTAATTAAATATAATATTTTTAATTCATTAAAATATCATTGGAATTAATTAATATAAAAATTAATGTGATCACGTAGGAAACTTTTTTCTCAAATAATATTATAGATATTTTTTTTTGAGAAGTAGAGCTTTTTAATATCTTTAATGTAATTTATCTTTAATGTCACAGAAGGTGAGATTAGGGCTTGTTCATATCTGATCATTCGGATTCATGTTATGTTTTTTTTTCTTTCGATGTGAAATGGATATAGAATTAGGATTTGTTCGCCCGTCTATCGGACTATTTTTCTCTTTTTACGGATTCAAACTCAGGTTCCATAGGATCTATGTAACAGTATGTTAATACCACCCGACCACTAACGCGTGGACTCTTCTTTCCTTTGTGTTTTTTTTTTTCTGGTTATCGGATTTTTTTTTTGTGTCTTTTGTCCTAACTTTTGCTTGTTAATTTAAAGTCAAGCTCTCTAAGTTAATAAGTTATGGAGGCTCTCGTTTAGTGGAGTTTTTTTTTCATTAGAGTGTAAACTCTTTACTTATACGAGTGAATCTCGAATGTTTAAAGTGAAATATCTCTCTTATAGAGAATCAAGTTTTTGGATTAGTTGGGGTATTTATTAATCCAGATAACGTTAGAAATAGCGTAAAACTTGACTAATACTTTTCTTATGTGTCTTTTGAAATAAAGTAATGACTAATATATATGGAAATTATAATAATAATTTTATGTTATTGACACATAACCAAAAATATTAGGATAATCAAGTTTCTAAACTACTGAACTTATTTAAAATTTAATATATACTTTTATAAGTTAAATCTTTATAACTAAAACCAACTAAACTATAATTTATTAAATTTTATTTTAAAAAGAAATAAAGTACCATATAATTATTGTTTGGAAAAATGAAAAATAATTTTATCAAATTAAACCAATTTAAATACAAGTAGGTTAAAATTAAATTAAATAACTTTACAAATTATTACTTTATACTATTAAAAATTATGAACTTAAAATTATTATTTCTGCGCATGACGCAAGAAACCATCTAGTAATTTAATGATATGAATATATGTTAAGTTAATAAATTAGAAGTCGAAGGTAACCAAAATTGATATAATATCTTGTTATTAGTAATTATTAAATGGATGCATTAATTAGGATAAAGTGTGTGATTAGTCAAGAGGTTGTAGATGTTCTTTCGTCCTAAAAGCACATGCAAGATTTGATTCATAGGTTGGTGTATATGGTATCACATGCCAAAAGGCAAAATATTAAATATTCAAAATGTCAAAAGAGTAATGATTTAGAGGATGGAAATGAGATTAGCCTTAACTGTGTAAAAACAGTACTACAATTGTTTCCTAATACATGTAAGAGTACAGTCATAGATGGTTAATGATTGGTATAGAACTATTACTGTATGTTGGTTACGAAATTTGTTTACTGCTTTTGCATTCATTCGAGGCAAAAAAGAAAAGCATTAGTGTTTCTTCATGAAATTCAAGCAGGGGTTTGCGACCAGCCTTGTGGAACTCTGCTGGAAACAACTGTAGACATTGCTTTGACATTGATACCGAGTGGGTAAAACCGGTGCTCAATATCGAGTTCGAGGAGGATCTTAATTATTTCTTCGACCAAGACGGATCTTCTTCCCCATCTTTCAAGCATGTCTTGGAAATTAAACCTGTGATCCGGCCAAATTACTAACCTTATCATGTTCAACTCTTCTGCGTTCTTTACAACTATCTTGGCTGATGGGTACCAGTACTCTGGCTTGTTGTCAATGTAGCTACATTTAACATTAAAAAACAGGATCAGCAGAACGTTTTCAAAAGTAAATAAGCAATAAAGGAATAATTAATGTTGGTTATTACTTTGATATTCTTTGCCTGATTGTTGCAATCTTTTCAGGAGGAGTAGTAATGTGGACACAAAACTCGATTGTGTCACTCATGTCTGGACTGCGGTAGTAATTGCTGATCGATTTTTGCCATAGAAGACTATTCGGGTACATAATCTTCAGATTGTCATATCTCAAGAACACTGTTGTAAGTATGTTCATCTCCTCCACCACCAACTGTATTTAGTCAACATTATGTTAGCAAATCAATATACATTTACATGTCATTTAGAAATGTGTCACAATTTTGTTGTTTTTTACCTGTACATCGTCAATCTCACAGCGATCACCAACATCATAAGGATGCACGATGAACAAGAAGATGATGGACTCGAATACAGTCTTGACCGTGTTCCCAAAGATGAAGGCCAATAGTACAACTTGTGAGCTTACAAAGAGAAGCACTTTGGAGGATGCTATTTCCAGAAGGACAAGCCATATGACAACTATGACAATAGCAGTGACAATATTGATCATGTGATGAAGCTTGTTCACAGCAGTCTTGGTGTCGTTGAGTGTCAGGGTAAGAGCTCTTCGCTCTCTGAAAGCATTGACCTACTCAAAGTCAATAACATAGAGATATATATATATACACAACAGAAAGCTAAAGAATCCAGGTGAATAAATTTCTATGCAGAAAATAAAAAATTACCAGCCAGTTCTTCAAAGCTGATTTGCTGATCTTTTTCGTCTCTGGTGCACCTTCGAAGAGGTACATTGCCTTCATCGCCTCGTCTTCACGCAAAAACCTCATCAAATCGTCTATGTAAATGTGCCTTTGGTTCATTGAGATATACAAATTTAGTAGAAACTCAACATTTGGTTCTAAATAAAGAAACTCGTAAGGAAAAGAAGAGGAAACTTTGGACAGACTTTGCGCCACGTCGAGCCACGTTCTTGAAAATTTTCCTTGCAGCTGCTTTAGCTTCTTTTTCGCTCAGTATCTGTCGGGTGGATTCGTCTTCGTTTGTGGTTTCCTGCATCTGCTCGTCTAACGTGGTAAGCGAAACATGCCTCACAATCTTCATCAGCCTCTTCATGTTCCAAGCTGATATGTTCTTGTGATTCATACTCTGAAGGTGCTTCACGCTGATTCCACCATCAGCTGCTGTTTTCGAGATGACTGTTGATAGTTTGGGGTTCAGAACTCTCCCACTCTTTCTCGGTGGAAACGCAGCGGCGCGAAGATCTGGTGGTAACTTAGCACCTGCGTTCTGCAACTTTAAAATCTCTTCTTGCGCCCTCTCTTCCTCTTCCTCAATCCTGCTCAGCTCAATCATGGGAGGACCCGACAAGGTTTCGATTACGTACTGGTTAAACAGAGCTTCTTGAATCCGATCAAAGTAAGTACTAACGTGGAACGAAGAAGCGAGAACCTTAACCACTAGTGTCTTGATCAACCATAAGATAGTGCTCAACAAGAAACACACCAATATCTTGGTTACGTAAGGAAGAAACTTGCTATCTGTCTCTCGCTGTACTTTCTTGTCGAACAAGAAACGCCAAGCGAGAAGAACCATACTGAGCCAGAGACAGTTCTGGACAGCTCTACGAACACCGTACACAAAGTAAAGAACTCGTTTTCGCAAAAGAAAGTTTCTCTCGATGAAGAAGACAACGATTCGGATTCCCCATCCAGAGACCAGCCTCCCACATATAAGAACAAGCAAGAACACTTCCCATTTCCATAAATGAAGGTTCCAAACTCTCACTTTCTTCCAAGAAGGAATCGATAAACTACACGCCAATGCAGCTATTATAGCCACTAAGCTAAGCCACTCGAGCAAAGTTATGGCGTCAAGTTTCCCTCTCTTATACTCATCAGGTATATCTTCCTCAGCTAATGGATCATCATCTTCATCAATATCTCCGAGTAACCCGGATTTTAACTGACCAGATCTCCAACCTGAATAAGGCGTGTCTTCCTCTGCTGGCGGATCTTGAAGCCTCGATCTTGTCTTGGTTCTTGAAATAAGATCTGCTTTCCTTTGAAACGACCTGTTCGATGTGCATCGAACAACCTCTTCTTCCTGCTGCTGCGTGTCTTGATTCGTCCGCATTGTTGCCGACGAGCAAGACGAAGGAGTAGGAGACGAAGAAGGAACCGAACCGACGAAGTTTGTACCAGCTCTTTGAACATTGAAAGAGACTCGCAAGTCCCTCGCCGCGTCAAATGATGATCGAGCCGTTGAGGTAGGCGTTGGTTGTGTCTGGTGACTTACGTCATCGTTGTCTTGATCCACATCGAGTGTGATCTCTCCTCTACCTTCCCATTGTCGATGCTCTCCTCCGGCCATTGGTTCTTCCATTGGCCGCGGCTTCCCTGATCCGAAGTTGAAGCTGTCGCTCAGTCTCCCACTCTGTCGATTAATAGTGGTCGGATCTTTAAAGCTAGTTCGTGCCGGCTCCAACGTGGCGTGGTCGGAAGTTCCAGTGTTGTCTGGCCAGAACTTGTAGCTGGAATCTCGTTCTAGGGGAGCGTTTCGAGCCTCGTCCAGGCTAGAACGAGAGCTCTGTGTTTTGTGGTGGCCCATGCGAGGGTGGTGATCGTGGTCGTGGAGAATCGGACGGTTCTCAGGGCTTGCTTCACTTTTATCTCTGGGGCTTCGTATCTGTTTGTACGAGCTGTGATATTTGAAAGAGTTTTTGAAACTCATCGGAAAAACAAAATGAAGAAAAGAATAAACAAAATTACAAATGTTTAGACAAGGAAACATAAACTTTTTTTTGAAAAAAAAAAGAAGGCATGGCACAAAACTTTACTTCGTTTGGAATAAGCTTAACGTGTAATTTCATGGTACGTAGACTTTTTTGGTAAACTGGGACGTAGACTTTGATTGGAAAGCTGTAGAATGACTGAATTACCTTAAAATATGCGATTCTTCAAGGTTTTTACTAATAAGAAAAATTTGTGGAACGGAAAATAAATCGCAGAAACATAAGCGTTACTACTGTTTACAAAAATAAATCTTTATTAAGCAATATGAATAAATATTTGTGGAATTATATTTTATACTATTAAATTATATTTTATAATACTTTTAGATCTCTATCTAAATAATAATAACTTTTGGAATCATAGGATGGTATTGTATTCTTATAAATTTTTTGACTATATTAATTATTATAATCATATAATTAAACAATATTAATATTTTATTTTAGATGAGTTACCTCATAAATTTTTGTAAAATTACTTCTAATCGTAAATAATATGTTCACAAATTTTTATTACGCAGATTATAAATGATTCTGCATCTTAACTATTTTAAAATAACATTAATTTGGTTTTTACATGTTGGGGGTGAAAAGAAGTAATCAACAGCCACAATTAATAATAGCTACAACAACTTATATCTAAACGTTTAATAGATATAACAAAATCCAATATGAATTGTATAAAATATGCAATTTAAAACTATCCTTCTATTGAGACCTTGTATATGTTGGTTGTTATATTCCGGTCTGGTTTCCCATACCATCTCTAAGTTAAGTAATAGATCAGTTTTTTGATGTCAAAAAGAAAAACTATTGATTTTCTCACTTCGTAACGGTGGATCGGCTTATTGATCTCTTGACTAAATCTTCGAAGACAGATTTACTCAATGCACATATATATCTGGATGATGTTAAGATTATTAGAGATTTAGCTATAAGTCGGACTGATAGACATGATTTTTGTGGGTAGTCTTTCACTGAATGATGAAAATACACTGTTAAATCAGGATATATGGTTAAATCCCATTTTCCCGATAAGGTACAAGAGTTAGTATGGTCTAGACCGGATTTTATATCTTTACTTGTTTTTTTCTTGGAAACTTCAATGTGCTCCAAAGTTGAGAGACTTTGTTTGGCAAATTATTTCATGATTTTTATCGGTTGCACAAAGTTTAAGGGCACGTGGTATTAATTGTGATACTCGCTGTAGTATATGTGGCGTAGAGGAGGAAGAAACGATAAATCATGTTCTCTCTGTGTGTCCCTCAGCTTTGTAAACGTGGGTTTTGTCAAAAATTATCTTCCATTCTGATACTTTTTCCATTTTTTTGGTGTTCACTAATATGGATTATTTCTTTTGGAGACTACCATAAGCGTATGATTTTAGTAAACTTTCATGTATTTTGTGGTATATTTGAAAAAATAGGAACAATAAAGTTTTCAATAATAAAGTAGGCAATCCTTAGGAAATCCTTACAATTCCGGAAAGGAAACCTATGGTTCCATAGGCTCCTGATTGGAATGCTTTGGGGTATTCTAGAACTTTGTTTTATCGATGGTGCATGGAAAGCTAATGATAAATTCTCGGGACATGGATGGTTCTCCAGAGCGGTGGGTTCAGAGGAGAAAATGATGGGAGCGATGAATCTCCGAAGAATCTTATCAGCCTTGCATGCAAAATGTGAAGTTTTGATATGGGCTATGGAATGCATGAAGGCCCTTGATTATTCAGACGTAGTTTTTGCAACAGACTGTTCTCAACTGGTGAAGACGGTGTTCTCACCTGACGAATGGCCCGCTTTTGCTACACACTTAGAAAAGTTTCGACGCAGTAAGACTTTTTCCCCTACCTTCAAGATTCGACATATACCAAAAGCAACTAACTTAGTGGTGGACAAGCTTGCACAAGTTGCTCGACGTTCTTCTTCAGCTATGTTTTATGTTGATTCCATACCGCCGGTTTAGCTTGTTGAACCGGTAGGAAATAGTTCATAGTTTATGCATTTGTTGTCAAAAACATTTATTGATTTTGTTACTAAATATATATATTATTCGCCTGTTGACAAAAAAGTATTATTCACCTGTTGACATAAAATATATTATTCGCCTCTCAACCGATAACTGATTTTTGGTTTAAAACTTAAAATTTGGCGAAAAAAATCTTGAAAAATAAACTTGATTTGGATTATTATTAAGTTAATAATTCATTAATCATGTTTAGCCCAAACTTATCCCAAGTTCAAAAATAATCTCCACCTCCTTAACATAAAAACTAGATATTGTTATAGAAAAATCTAGATAATTAGAATAAAATAATCTAGATATTATGTAAGAATAATCTAGATTTAGGATTAAAATATAAGATATTTTGTATTTTGGAAGCTATAGTTACCTTCCCCTTTCATTTTGAATAATCCAAGTTTGTAAGAATCATAAAAGTAATAAGAAGTTCTCTTAAGTAAACAAAAAGCCTTTTTCTTCACAAAATTTCATTCTCTTCAGACACTTAAACACTTTCTCCATCTTTACTAAATTTTTCATTCCAACAAAGTGGTATCAGAGCTAAAGATGGCAAATAGTGGTGTTCCCTTTCAAGTTCCATTGCTCACAAAGAGCAACTATGACAATTGGAGTCTTAGAAGGATGGGTATCTTAGGAGCACAAGATGTGTGGGAGATAGAGACAAAGGCTTCATTAACCGGAAATTGATGGAGGTTTATCTTAAACTCAAAAAGATGGTTGGAGAGATTCAAGGAAAAGAGACAAGAAGGATCTTTGTCTAATCTATCAAGGATTAGATGAAGATACATTTGAAAAGGTTTCTGGAGCAAAGACTTCCAAAAAAGCATGAGAGAAGCTTCAGACCTCTTACAAGGGAGCATAACAAGTTAAAAAGGTACATCTTCAAACTCTAAGAGGAGAATTTGAAGCACTAGAAATGAAGGAAAGATAAATCATCACAGATTACTTCTCAAGAGTCTTGACGGTTACTAATAACCTAAAGAGAAATGGTGAGAAGTTAAATGAGGTGAGAATCATGGTGAAAGTTCTCCGATCATTGGATTCGAAATTCGAGCACATCGTTACTGTGAATGAAGAGACAAAAGACTTGAAGACTATGACGATGGAGTAACTTCTTGGATCATTACAAGCTTATGAAGAAAAGAAGAAGAAATAAAATATTGTTGAGTAAGTTACCAAAATGAGAATTGATCACAAGGAAAAAAGTGGCTGGAACAATCCAAGACGTGGTGGTGGTCATTTGCAAGGAAGAGGTTGTGGTATACATGCACGAGGTCTGAGACCATATAAAGACAACTTCAACTAAAGAGGAGAAAGCTCAGTAAGAGGTCATGGAAGAGGAAATCCAAAATCAAGGTACAATAAATCAAGTATCAAATGCTATAGTTGCGAAAATTTGGACATTATGCTTCTGAATGCAAAACTCCAAACAACAATAGATTTGAAGAAAAATCAAATTATGTTGAAGAATGGAGTAAAGAAGAAGATATGCTATTGATGGTTTACAAGAAGGAAGAACCAAATGAGGTTCACAAGTAGTACCTTGGTAGTGGTGCTAGCAATCACATTTGTGGAAATGAAAGCATGTTTGTGGAGCTTGATGAATCGGTGAAAACCAATGTGACTTTGGGAGATGAATCAAAGATGGAGGTGAAAGGTAAATGAAACATTCTCATACGCATGAAGAATGGAGATCATCAGTTCATCTCCAATTTATACTACATTCCAAACATGAAAACCAAAATCTTGAGCCTTTGAAAACTTTTAGAGAAAGGTTATGACATTCAACGAAAGGATAACAACCTTTCTTTAAGAGATAAGTTAAACAATCTCATCACAAAGTTGCCAAAGTCAAGAAATATAATGTTTGTCCTAAACATTCAAAATGAAATTGCACGATGTCTCAAGATGTGTTACAAGGAGGAATCGTGGCTTTGGCATCTTTGGTTTGGGCATCTCAATTTTGGAGGGTTAGAGTTACTTTCCAAGAAAGAAATGCTGAAATGACTAACTTGCATCAACCATCCTAATCAAGTATGTGAAGGTTGTTTACTTGGAAAGCAATTCATGATGAGTTTTCCAAAGGAGTCAGAGACAAGAGCAAGAAAGCCACTAGAACTCATACATACAGATGTATGTGGCCCGATCAAACCAAATTCACTCGGTAAGAGTAACTATTTCCTTCTCTTTATTGATGATTTTTAAAGAAAAACATGGCTTTACTTTTTGAAAGAAAAATCAGAAGTGTTTGAAAATTTCAAAAAGTTCAAAGCCCATGTTGAGAAGGAAAGGGGACTTAATCTCAAGTCTATGAGATCTGATCGAGGAGGAGAGTTCATGTCAATGGAGTTTCTGAAGTATTTTGAAGCTAATGGCATACAAATACAATTGACGGTGCCAATAATCCCTCAACAAAATGGAGTAACGGAAAGAAAGAATAGAACTATCCTTGAGATGGCAAGAAGCATGCTCAAGAGTAAGAAGCTACTAAAAAAGTTTTGGACAGAAGCAGTGGCATATGCGGTTTATATATCAAACTGATCCCCAATGAAAAGTGTGTAAAAGATACCACAAGAAGCTTGGAGTGGAAGGAAGCCCGATGTCTCACACCTAAGAGTCTTTGGAAGCCTTGCTCACGCTCATATTCCAGATGAGAAGCAGAGCAAAGTAGATGATACAAGCGAGAAGTACATTTTATTGGGTATGATGCTAATTCCAAAGGCTACAAGCTCTACAACCCTAAAAAAAAGAAGACAATCATTAGTCGGAATGTCATCTTTGACAAAGAAGGAGAATGGGATTGGAGATCAAATGATGAAGAATACAACTTATTTTCGTCTTTTAAAGAAAATAATTTGGAGAAACCGAGAGAAGATCCAGCTACACCAACAGGAAGTTCTCAAGGAGATGAAAGCTC